CTGTTGCTCACACCAGCATCTCCAAGAATTCTTGGATTTCTCTTTTCCCCATCCCCTCATCAGCAATGCTGCTGCTTTTGTCTGCTCCAAGGCTTCAGTGGGGCCCTCTCTTTCCTAGTGCCCAGGCTACAGGATTTCTCTGGGCATCCCAGGGTCCGTCTCTGCTCAGCAATGCCCATTCCAGTCCCATCCTGACCCCACAGCAGCCAGAGCATGGGGGTCTTTCCAAGCCCTGGAATGGATCCCATGTTCCCCTCCTCCTGTTTAGAGACCACTGAAAGGGTCTGCTTTCTTTCCCCTCACTGCTGAGCCCAGAAGGCTCTGAATTGGTCTAGTCAACTCCTGTGCAACCCCACCACCACCCTCTTCCCAGGCTCTGCCGTGCTCTGGCACACTGCTCAGCAGGGAGCCGCGCCTCTGACAGCTTTGCGTAGCTCCTCCCCCTGCCTGGACACCTGTCCCCTGGCTCTCTGATTCTCTGACACCCCCATTCTGGAGCTCAGGATAGCTCAGGGTTCCAGAAAGTTCTGTGAAAATCATGAGAACTGACCTCAGAGAGGACTTGGCATCTGGCACTCCAGCCTCTCCTCTCGGGGCCATCAGTATTTTGTCTTTTCTTATTCACTGTAAGAAATGGGACAAAACCAAAGTGTGTCCTGCTCTCACACACTCAGCACTCCACAGAGAACTTTCCAACATCAGATGCAAAAGGGATTTTTCTCAACCCCCAAGCAGACCTCTAGTAGGTTGTCTACTGATTTAACTCAGTTCTGACACATCCACTTTACACCTCTCAGTCCTGTAAGAGCTGGGAAGCCCCGACTTAGACACCAGATGTAGGCAGGATGTTGTCACCTGTCAACCAAGTTCAATGACTTTATTGTGATCATTCCCAGAGCTCAGGGAAGCACTTGTTCATGATGACCAGTTTATTAACTTAATAAATGATGTGATAAAGATCAATGTGTGGCCAAGGAGAGTCACAGGGCAAGGTCTATCGCAGTAAGGCTGGAATGTTCAATCTTTCCATTTTGGGAAGCATCTTGGGTTCACACGCCACCATTTGTGCCTCACAATGAGGCTTTACATTGGACGTACGACAATGAATAGAGACTCAGCCTGCCCTGACTTTGCCACCTGTCTTCCTGCAGGATTCATGTTGCTTCTCTTCTATCTTTTCCCCTCCCTCTCTTCAACATGAAGCACCTCTGACTAAATGCCCATATCAGACCAGGCAGATATGCAGGATAACCTATGGACTAAGAAACAGGAGCCATGTGATGCTGCCCTCCCCAAGCTGATCCCTGCCAGCCACACCGACCAAGGAACCACTCTGAGGGGAGGTGGGGGCCTTGAGCTGAGGTCTGAGGGCCAGAGGAGCCCTCCTGGGCAGGCTGAACGGCCCTGCTGCGGGAGGGAATGTGGTCAGGAGGGGCCAGGGCAGTGGGCGTGGTGAAGTTGCAGAAAACAACAGCCCTGCCAGGAAAACAGCTTGGAACTGACCCTGGCGACCCTGGCCATCAGGGGCTGCTCTGCTGGGGAAGTGATTCCCATTGTTTCAGTTTCCTGCTGGAGAGGAGGCTGTAGCCTGATGATTTGTGACAGTGGCCTTGAGAGCCCCTTTAAAGAGTCAAGAGGGAGGCAAAGTGGAACAGCCAAGATCAAAGGGCAGGACACGAGATTTTCTGAGTGGCAGTTCAGAGAAAACATCTCATCCTTTACATGGTAGGGCAAAGAGAGACAGCACAACATCCATTTCAGCCCCACCATGTGCCTGGAAAAGTTGTCCAGAGACGTGGAGGGAATGGGAGCAGGCCACACAGCTGATTGCTTTCCTGACTCACAGCGTGGTGCTTGGATTACTTCCTGGGGCTGACAGCAGGTGGAAAGTGAAGGCCCAAGTGCCTCCTCCCTACTTCCTACACTAGCAGAGGATGGCCCTGGTCCCCATGCAACTTCATGGTCTAGGACCTCAGGGGATGAAGAGAGTGGGGGCTTTGGCTTTACTGTAAAACAGAAAACCCTAGACATATCTGCTTCATTGGTTATTATTGGGAATGCAGTGAAACTGAGAACTACATAAAAGAATATCATGAAACCACCAAGTGAGGTGATCTCCCACCCATGAGATGCTGAAGGTATGTTTGTTTTCTTTTCTTATCCTTCATGTGCCAGAACTGGGACGAGGGGAAGCACGGGGGAAGGATGCATTAAATCATAAAAGCTCTTTCAATCATTAAAAGAGGTACATACATAAACATGTTATTCCAATTGCTAAGTTCTCAGCAAAACTAAACAAAGCCCAACCAAATTCTTTAACTCCATTAAAAAAAAAATCTGCTTATTCTCATATACTTGCCAGGCAGAGAGAAAGAGATAGAGTTCCATTAGCTGGTTCATGCTCCAATTGACTTCAACAGCAAGAAAAGCCAGACCAAAAGACCAAAGCCAAGAACCTCGACCTCCATCCAAGTCTTCTACAGGAGTGGAGGGACCAGAGAATTTGACTCATCTGTGGCTCACCAGGATGAATTAGCAAGAAGCTGGAATAAAGAGTAGAGCTGAGCCCCAAACCCAGGCACTCTGATATGAAATGCAGGTGTCCCAAGACACAAGTTAACTTGCTGCTCCACAACACCTGTTCCTGTCTCCGTTATTGATGATGAAAGCAAGTCCTGGGTAAAGTGCTTGATCCTCGAATTAAAGAACAAGTAAAAGGAAGCATGAGTTTTCCACCTCCTTGCTGGTCCAGGCCTCTGGCCCTGACGTTTAATGTCTGATTTGAATCAGATATATTCGTTTAGAGCTTAACCAACAGATGGTACAAAAGGAATCACTGGAGAAATACTTTTTAAAAAGCAAAAACAGCCATGCAGATGCTGAATTATGATCTTAATCTGTCTGAGCTGGAGCTGAAGGCTGGGACATTGGGCCTGAGATGTCTGCCCAGCACCCGGCCTCGATGCTTCCCTGCTCTGCCCCTCGTAGCACTGTACTCCGTGTACCACTAGGCTTTGGCCCTCCTGCACTGAGTCACATGGATCTGAAGCGATCTCCTTTCTCTTGGTTATGGTGTTGAGTGAAATGGTTTGGCTCAAATAGCTTTGCCTCTAAAAAATATTTTAAAATATTTAAAATTTTAAAAAATATTTAAAAATACATGTTATTGCTCAGATTTCCCCAAGAACGGTCAAGAGTCAGAATCTTTTCTCAGAAACTGCCTGAATCTTTGGAGAAGTGCAGAGCCTCTCCAATGGCAGCCTTTACAGACTTCAGGGGGAGTGAGAAGGGAAAGGCATTCTGCTTTTTTCTTTGGGCGTGCTCACACTTTTGTTGCAACTCAGTTTCCAGTGACATCTATAAAATGTTTAAAACAGCTCTATGCAATTGAAGGTGATGGCCTTGTTAAACTGAAATTCTAGACACCAGCAAATATCTGAAATATAGGAATTCATCGAGTCCCTATCCCTATAGAAGGTTCCCCATACCACCAACAGCAAGGCAAGGTGGAGGTTGGAACACTGCCTGCTGAACCAGAACCACAAGTTTTGGAATTTGGGGAAGCTGCTTACACTGAATCTATGTTGGGTAGTGATAAGAGGCTAAGTGGGTCAGCACTGAGGGAAACAATAAGATGAGCCTGGGGTGCCCTCATTGAAAGGATGCCCTCAGCCCATACTGAAGTACTGAAGTTCTGATTCCAGCTTCCTACTAATGCAGACCCTGGAGACAGCAGGTTGTGGCTCAAGTGGCTGGTCTGTGCCATCCAAATAGTATATCCGCTTTGACTTTCTGGCTCTTAGCTTCAGCGTGGTGCAGACTTGGCCATTGCAGTCATTTGGGGGAATGGCGGCTCTTTCTCATTTGTTCACTTTTCTTCCTCTCAGCCTTTCAAATAAAGAAATAAAAATAAAAGACGGGCAGGGAAAGTTTTGGGATAAGACAGTCTATAAGAAATACACAGATACTTCAAAAAGTTTGTGGATATTAAGATTAAAAGAGATGATTCAAAACTCACGTGGCACTTTTCATAGTGCTTATTTTTCATGAATGTGTTGAAAATCCCTCATATTCCTTGCCTCTTGATTGTTTGGGATGTGATGTGTCTTGATAGTCCTACTGGGGTTGGGAGTCAAGGGTTTAGCATGTATTTGATATTGCTGGTTTTACCTGACACTTTTAGCTGAAAAGCTTCTCTCTTCTTTGATCCTTGGGCTTCACAATTAAATTTATGGTATTGTAGGATTTTTCCATTATCTGTATTCTCACACAGTGTGGAACCAGAAAGGCACTATGGGTAACAGAAGCTACTCTGATTGTCCAGCAGGAATGTTGCAGGAGGACGAAGTTCAAGTCCTGCTTCTGGATGCTGCCTTGTCATGGATACCCGTTAAAGAGCTTCTTTAGTAAGACACAGGAGCTCGGCTGAGAACAGCTGGGGTGAGTCCAAAGTGGACAAAGCCAGAGGTGCCTTCCCTCTACATGGAGCCTGACAGCAGGCTGGGACCCCATCCCCTGACCATAGCAGAAGTGTGGTGGCCCACTCCTGACCTTTGCCTTCACCCCAAAAAGCCCTATCATGTGATTTTTGGGAATACTTGGAGAGCAAACATATTACATTTTCCCAGCATGGGGCTGGGCTTCTCAGGAAGAGTTATATCCGAATCTTTCCGATGCTTCTGAGGAATGCAGCAGCCTGAACCCATGTCAGACTCTAACGATCTGAACAGGAGTTTATGGAAACTTTGATTTTTGAATTTTTTGATAATGGTACACTGAGGCTGCTGTACACAAAAGCCTTTTTAGGGAAAGAGCTTGACTTCTAGAGAACCCTCTTTTACACACTGCAGCAGGGTTTCCAGGCAAATGAGGGCACCTTCTCCCTCTGGCCCAAGGGAGTGTTCTGGAAGCAGCTGTGGGTATCCCAGGACTGGGTCTGTCTGTCTGTCTGTCTCTCTCTCTCTCTCTCACACACACACACACACAGAGAAACATCAAACAAGTTGGTACTTTTATTCACATAATAGGACAACAGAAGCATACAAAAGAAGCCTCTTGGTCAAGCATACACAGGGGAAGCTTTAAAACTCATTTCTGTAGGGTGAGGGCCCAGGTATTTAAACAGAGGACAAGGTCTTTTCTAATGGGATCCAAGGTCTTTGGCTTGAGGAACTGAGCCTGTGAAAACCACTGTGGCCCAGGGTTGTGGAAAGGGCTCCGCACGCTGAGCACCCACTGAGGTCCATCTCTTCTACAAGGGAACTTGACTGCCCAGGACAGTCATCTCTGTGGAGTTTTGACTCCTGACTTTTCAAGTTAATTCTTAACTAGATTTTAGGAATTACATGGCCAGATGTGCTTGACCTTGTTTTTTTTTTTTTTTCAATACAGACATCAAAAGGCAAGGTGGAAAACAAACTTCCTTGGTTCTACTTTTTCTCATGAGGCAGGTACTGGTCCCAGTATATCCTCAACATGAGCCTCCATAAGGGGAAACAAAGTCTAACTTCAGAGCCACATCTATCTCCACCCTGTCCTTGGTCTATCTGTCTGCCTGCCTGCCTCTCCACCATCTCTTCTTCCTCTCAGAGGTCCTTGATTGGGCTTGTTCCATGATGCTCAGGACCTCCTTTGCATGTCCTAGGAAACCTTCTGGGGCAAAGATGGGTTTGGCCTGATCCTGCACTTCAGACAGGACTTGTGGATGTTACAGTCACAAAGGCAGAGTGGTGGCCTATCATGGAGGTTGGTGAAAGGGCATGGTAAGAGAAACCTCTTCTGTCTTTCACCTCTTTCCAGGCCCCAGTGGCACCACAAATCATCCTTGTTTATTACCAGGCTCAGGACTGACATTCTCCCCAAACTCTGAGCCAAGTGAGATGAGGTTAAACCAGGCAGCCAAGAAAAGGAAAGGTATCACCAAAGTTTATGTCAGCTCCTGAGCCTCAGAAATGTTTTAAGTCCCACCACTGCACCTCAGGATTCCCAGGTCCTCCAGGTACTACACAGAGCCTAGGGTCCAGCCCACTGCAATTCCCCAACACCAAGACTCCTTCTCTGGCTCTTGGACTTTCACTGCTGTCTTCCAACACCTCTGATGTCTTATTTCTACTTCCTTTACACCTATCTCCCACTTACTGCTTCCTTCTTGAAATCCTCACTTCCATTCATAGGTGTTATGTTTCCCTCTTCTCATGTGTCCCCAAACAAAGCACCGTTGGCAGGCCCATGACAAGGGTCAGGATGGGCAGTTGTCAGCAGTAAGCTGAAGTGGCTAGCAGGCCTGGGCTGCAGCCTGCCATGCATTTGCAGGGGAGAGTGGTCAGCCCCAAACACATGGCTGGCCACAGCAGGCCTCAGGTGTTAGCCCTCCAGCAGCCTGTCCCAGCCAACTGGTCTGCATCTAAACTTAGCTGTTCGCTTTCTCTCACTGCCAGCTACACATTCATGCAGAGATGGGGAAAATGATACTTTTTTTTTTTTTTTTAGCAACTTCAAACATCCAATGCATAGGTGTTTGCACAGTTCAAAACATGGTGGCCCTTAAAAGAGATTTTTCTCATTACTTCTTTCTGGTGCTAGAGTGGTGGAAAAAGGAGACGGAAGAAATAAACAACCCCTCTGCTGTGTGCAGGACCAAGGAAGTCAAGTTCCTGTTATCCCATCATCTTTCCAGAAGAATCTTGAAAACCAGGTCAGCATCATCTTGCCTCTTCAACATTACCACTCACACCCACCCACACTGCCTGATCTGCTAGTGTCTATCTCCACCCTAGCCCTTGCTGCTTTCATATGAAGATTCTGGCTTTAGAAAACTCATATCAAACCTGACCTTGGCCTAATTCTCTGCAGGACTGACCACTGGATCCACTTGTGCCCGAGAGAAAGAAAGCTCAGCAGTGGGCAGGAATGACTCATTCATGACACTCATCCAATAGACATTTTTTTTTTTCTCTTCCAGATGTTCTGTGGGTTCAAGTCCAACATTCTTCTGGATTAGTACTGTTTCCTGGACAAAGGCTTCCATTTTTTCTTGTGGTGCCTGCTCCAGTGGCTCCCACTAGCGCACGAACGACACCACGCTGGTGGCAACTCCAAATGGCGCCGAGTAGGCTGCAGCAAACCCTTGCAGGCCCACAACAATGTAGAGGCATCCTTTGCTGATGACCTTCCCAACGTTCTATTTTAAGAAATGGAAGAGAAAAAACAAATTAGGTTTGGCAACCTTTCAGTTCTACCCTGAATCACGGCAACACAGAGAGAATTATTTTTCGTTATTCTCGCATTGCAACAAAACAGGTCACCATGTTTCCTATGGCTGCTGTCCCATACCCACTTCCCATCAAGACCATGTAGCATTTCACAGCAGATACTATCACCTTGCAAAGTGCTTGCAAGATCAGTATATTTCCAGACAGTTCAGAGATTATTATTGTCAGTATGATTTGGCTCCCAGTCTCATGCATTTAAACCCTGAAGCTGTAAGTTAAAGGTATTAAAAGGGTGGAAACTTAACCTAAATTCAGAGTGTATGAGGTGGACCCAAGTGAGAGGGTTTTGATAAAAGCCCAAGTTGGGCCAGCCACCCTCTACTGTTCGCTGACCATGTGACCTTTCCTCTGTATCCACTCCACTGCTATTTGCCACCCTCACCAGAGGCCCAACCGATTGAGCTACATGATGTTGCACTTGAACCTCCAAAACTCTGAGCTAACTAATCTTTTTCTTTATAAAGTTAGTTTCTTCAGGTATTTGGTTATAGTAGCAAAAAAAGGTGACTAATACAGACAACTTCTTAGAGACAGCTAACAGTTCTTAAACTGATTCTGTGTTTTAAATCAAAGCCGATTCCTTTCCTGTACTCCAAGCCAAAAACTCATGGATAATCTGTAGGATGGGTGCAGTCCTTTCATTCACCATGCCTGAAAGCCCATCCTGAGCTCCCTCTGCCTCCAGAATGGGTTCCTCTCTCATCCACACATCCATTGCCGTTTATTCTTCAGCCATTCTTTAACCACAGTGCTAGCCTAACCCATGCATTTCCAATGATTATACACTGCTAGAGCAATGACTGGGCTTTCTTGGTAGGCACTCTTCTTCTTCCCCTTCCACTTCCATTTCCTTCTCTCATGGCTTCCCTACATTTCCCCCCTAATTCGCTTTTTTTCTCCTGCTTCCTCCTCCCCTCTCCATCTCCTCCACAAGGCCCAAATGCTGGAGAAACAATATCCAAGGGACTCAAATGGAATTGCCACAGAAAAAACTAAGAACCACCTCCAATGACTAATATATGAAGGCACTGGTTTCCTTTTGTCCTTTTCTTGCTTCCTTCAACTTCTGTTATCTTCTTGGTGACTCCACCATCTATGCAGGACCTGGATCTTATCTCATCATGTAACTTGCCTCTCAGGACTTTGACTGTTGCAACTGTAAGAACTACACTGACTGGTTTCACTTTCAACTCCTGATTGCAACTACAAACCTCATCTTGACTGCCACCTCTGCCTGGCAAGCTTGCTCTGCCTGTCTACAGTGGGCTGACTTTCCTCTCTCATGGATGCTACCTCATCCCCACTCCTTTATCTCAAGACCTCCCACTACGTGTCCCCCCCCCCCCCAATACACACATACAAACATGCAGGCACAATCTCCGCCTCTTCTTTGGATGATCCCACTTCACTATCGTCAGGGAATTTATCTTCTCATCACTGTCTGCAAACCTACCATGGCTGTTCCCAGCTTCTCCTACTTCACCTGTACCCTGATGGAAAAAGTTCTCTTCCCTTCTGTCCATCCTCAAGATATCATCATTGTCTTCCTCTCCACTGGATCATTCTCAGTAGGTCAGGCATATAAGGGGGCTTATGACCCAAAAAAAAAAAAAATCATACATAGAGATTTCAGATTTCTTGGTGCCAAAATAAGCTTACCTTTTAATTCCATTCCTTCATGAACTTTCTGAAGTATTCTCATAAGGCCAAGTGTTACCTTGACTGTGTACTTCTGACTACCCCCACATGCGTCCTTCATGCCCAAGTAACTGACAGACACACACAGAGCCTCCACTTCTGCACTTTCTCTTCCCTGTTACTCTGGCCCCTGTTCTCAAACAACCAAAAACTGCTTAGTCACGGTCATCTACAAGGTCTATGCTGCCTAATTTAATGGACACTTCTTTTTCCTCTCCCTGATCCCTGTTTTTTAAAGAAAAGATATATATATTTGGCAGAACAACAGAGGAGGAGGCAGAAATAGACAGGTCTTCCATCCGCTGCCTCATTCCCCAATTGCCAGCAAGAGTAAAGTCTGGGCGAGGCCAAAGCCAAGAGCTGAAACTCCATCCTGATCTCCTACATGGGGGAGAGGACAAACACTCGGCCATCTTCCAGTTCCCAGTGCATAGCAGGGAGCAGGCCTCAAATTGATGCTCCAGTATGGGATGCCAGTGTTTTAATCTGTGCTTTAACTCATTGAAAAATGCTGGTCCTTCTCGGCAGTTTTTGGTACATGACAGTTGGTGAATAACTGACCTCTTTGATTTCATATTTTTCTAATTCTCTCCGACCCCTTAGGGAGCTCATTTTCAACTTTATTTCATGGATTACATCTTCTACCAACCTTGACTATGTTAGGGTTCTTCAGTACTCAGTTGTATTGGGTTTCAGTCTCTTGCCTACAATCCCTTTTTAAGTCCTGTTATCCATTTCTAATGATTTCATAAAGTGTTTCCTTGATTCTGATACCAAACACAGACATTCAGTTCTCTATTTGAGGTCTTTATATTTCGAGACCTCATGGCTTCTTGGCACACATGCTTCCTTCCTGTATGCAGAAAACAACTCAACTTGGATTGGCTCCTAACGTATTCCCAATGGCTTTGGTTATGGGGCTTCAATAAGAAGACAGCACAAGAGCATTACATTTATCTGAGATTGTATAGTGGATAAGGGGAAGAGCTGAAGTTCAATCCCAAAGAAAGCTGATCTCAGAGCCTTAATCCCATATTGACATTCCTCCTTTTTTTTTTTTTTTTAAGTAAAGATTTATTTTACTCAGGAGAGAAAGAGAGAAGAGAGGGGGAGAAAAAGAGAGACAGAGAGAACCTTAATCCCATATTTACATCTCTGCTTTTTTCTAAAATGAAAGATTTATTTTACTTAGGAGACAGAGAGAAGAGAATTGGAGAATAGCTTCCAATCACTGATTCATTCCACATCACTCCACAACAGCCAGGCCTGGATCTTTCTGAAGTCAAGATCTAGAACTCCATCTGGGTCTCCAATGCAGGTGATAGAGACTCATATAACTGAGCCATTTGCTGTCATCCCAAGTAGAGTCCTAGGGAGCTGAATCAGAGGCAGAGCACACTGAACTCAAATCAGGGCTCTGACAATCAGTGCAGGTGTCACAAGTGGTGACTTAACACACTGGGCTGCAACACTGGCCCCTATCTCCCTTCTTTAATGAAGGCTGAAGTCTGTAAGCTGGTAGTCAGTATGAATTCCAGCTTCATCAACTTTCTTTGGCTTCATTCCCTAATCTACACAATAAGAATACACAGTTAGGAGGGTTACAGGACTTTATTCACGGAAGGCACCAACAAGCTTTAGACACTGTAAGTGCCCTGACATCATCAGCTATAAGATACCATTTCCTTCTTCACACTGCACTGTAACTCAAGCTGGTGCTAATGGTATACACATTCACATTTTATTACCTTTTCAGGAAAGTTTCTTGTGAGTATAACTTTCAAGGATTTCTGGCTTACATGAGTTCTCTGTACTGTGAGTTCCCTCACAGTAACACAATCAGAGTGGGGAATGTGTTGTGCTCAATTCTGTATGCCTAGCACACACAAACAGCCTATGCGGTTTCCTTGGGCACTCGCCACTAAATGACACACTTTTGAGAACGAGGCAGTCTGTCTTGTTGGGACCCTGATCCCCAACACTGCTCTGTCAGGTCTCAGCTAGATCTTGGGACTGGGACACACAGGTGGATGTGTGCATGCAGGCAAGAGAGATATTTCTATAAGTCTGTGATAAGATTCACCCAGAGAACTTTATTTAGAAGTGTGCAACAAACTAACTGAAAAGCAAGAGTGATCCTTCACAAACAGTTCCACCAGCATCACAACCGCCTGCCTTAAACTCAACTTTTTTGGCATTAACACATGTATTTTCTTCAGACTGCTATTTTTAAAAGGCTGCTTATCACTTGTCATCTTTGCAACTTGGGAAAAAAGAATCTCTTAAAATAGCTTATTAACTGGAACATGAACAAAACACAGATTTAAGAAATGCAATGCAAACCAATGTGAAATATCAACCACTTCAGTGCCATTTGTGTGTGGAGATCAGGAATTCTTGGAAGGGCACTTGGGATAGGGTGTGTCAGGTTGAATAATATCCACTTCCCCAAGAGATCCAAGTCCTGGTCCCTAGAACTTGATAATGTAATACCTTAGCTTGCTAAAGGAATTTTGCAGGTATAATTACATTGGAGATCTTCAGATGGAGTTTATCCTGGGCTAGAAAAGAAGGATGCAGAAGGAATCAGACAGAAGTGATGTAATGACAAAAGCAGGGGGAGAAGAGGGGTTAGGCTAACGTCTGCACTGCTGACGTGGAGGATGGAAGAGGAGGCCTTCAGGAGGCAGGAAGAGGTCAGGCTGGGGCTTCTCCCCAGCAAGGCTTCTGGCTGTAACGCTGGGGCTCTCTGTTACAGCAGCCATTGGAAATTAGTACCGAAGATGGGGCTTACTGGGCTAGGGCCACAGGAAACAAATCCTTGGTGACACCAGAGACTCCCTGCCACCCATCCCGCCCCCCATGTTCCCAACAGCAAGGCAGCTCTCTGCCAAGGTCATGCCCACACCTCCAATACAAAGACTGCAGCTTCAGTTGTGCAAGTGTCAGGACCCAGTACAGTCCTGAGGCCAGTAATGAGCTACAAATGCTGTTTTCCTTCCCTGAATTACAGCTTAAAACAAACAAACAAATCGAACCAAACGATACCAACCAAAAAAACGAAAGACATACACTGAGCCTGTCCTTCATCCCCATGGTTAATTACAATCACACAGCCCCTACCTGGTACCAGGTACACTCTAAGTTCTCTCTATGAAATAACTCATTTATTCTTTGCAATCCTATTATCTCCTGCAACAAATGGAGAAGCAGAGGCAAAGAAAAGTAAGCAGATCACCACGCCAGATGACTGGGCAGGGCTTCACTGCCAGGTCCTTACCCAGTTCTTTCCTTGTGAGGACACTTCTCTACATCTTGCATGAAAAAGTTACTCCGCTATAGAAGGACATTATGACCCTGGAAGGTCGGTGAGCACAGGATTACATCTGATTGGATAATATGTGTATGAGAACAACCGAATGGATACCTTTTGTATAACTGATTGGGTATCACCTGTATGAGAACAGCTGAGAGGACAGCATGTGAATGAGAACACTTGGTGGAATATACACACATTGGCTTCAATCGTCAGTCAGAGTCCACGCATGTTATTATCAGCTCTGTGCACCAAGTCCCTCACTGCAGGACAGCGACACTCCACCCCCTTATTTTTCTCTAAAATTCCCCCTGCCATCTTCTCCTTGCTGGCCAATGAATAACATTTCATTACTTTTCTTTTCCAAATTCTCAAGGGTGACTGTTAAAAGGGACCTCAATTTAAACTCAGTTTTGGGGAATGTTCTCTCTCACCCCATCTGCTTCCTCCTGGGAAGGTAATAGGTCACACTCCTGACTCCCAGCTTTGCTACTTGCTGGCAGAGCAACCTCCCTTAACTGTCAGCTTCCATCATTGTAAGATGGGGGTGATCACAGCTTCCTAGGGTTAGAGAGGATTCAGGGCACCTGCAGCCTGCAACCACAGTACAAACATTTACAAGGATTTCAAAAGTCCATGAAAGAGTGGAATTAAAAAGTAAGTTCATTTCAGTGTGAAAAAGTTGAAACCCCATGTGTAGTGTTATTGTAGCAGGCATCCCCCATGGACATTTGGAAAATCCCCTCCCTCACACTCAGGAGATAACACTTGGGCTAATCACAGGAATGCCATTATCTTTACTTACAAATCACTGAGCATGCTGAGTCCCAGGCACACAGGCTTTGGCATGGCTGGACCAGCTAGCGCAGAATTAGGGCTATGGGAGCAACAAGAGGTGTGAGCCATCTTACATTTAACGAAGATCAAACACCTGTCTTTGAATTGCAGCGGGACAAGGCCTGGGTGATGAAGAACTTCAATCTTCCTTCTTTAATATAAGTATGTTCATTAATAATGTACAGCTGCTTGCATAGCAATGCCTGCTCCACTGGGGGCTCAGGTAACATAAAACTTGAGCTAGTAACTAAAGCAGATAAAACCACCTCCCAACATTTCTAGCTGAACCTTGGCTGTTCAGGTGACTTTTCAGCAAAGAGGGCCACACGGGACCCTGGTTCCCCTTTGGGATGGCTCTGTGAAAGGGAAAGCTGAAGTTGCCCCCATGTCAGGGCAGAAAGGGCATGTACAACTCTGGAGTGATAACATCCATCACCAGGCCTCCTGAAGCTATCGAGCTAGTGCGTGGCACTCCCAAGCTCCCCCAGGTCCACGCCTCTGCCTGCACTGCTCCCCCCATCCCTTCTCCAAACGCCAACACACTTTTTTTCAGTTGATGCAGAATTTATATAAAGTAACCACCTAAAGGTGCACCCTTCAGTGGCATTGAGTATATCAACAATGTTGTGAAAGAATTGTTTTTATCAAGTTTTAAACATTTTCTTCATTCCAATAGGAAGACAAATACCTCTATTAAATAGGTGCTTTCTATTCTTCCTGTGGTCTGTGGCGACCGCCCATCTGCATTCCAAAGCTCTGGGTTTCCCTACTGGGTACTTCACACACACAGACTCATACCTTGTGGGTCTGCCTGATTTCACTTCAGCAGAATGTTCTCAATGGTCACCATGTGCTGACATGTATGGGCACTTACAAGTTTTCCAGACTGATCGATATTACATTGTGCGCAATACTACATTCCATTTATTCATTGGCCCACTGATGAATATTTGGGCTGTTTTCGCTTTCTGGCTGTTGTGAATGGGGCATCCATGAATATGTGTTGTATATACTTGAGTATCTGCTGAGTACTGTTTTCCACTGAGGCTCAGTACTTGTTTTTAGTGCTTTTGATTATATATTTGGGAATACAGTACTGCTGGACCATGGCTACTTCTGTGTTTACTTATTCGAGGAAACACCCAACTGTTTTTCCATAGTGGCTAGCCCAATTCACATTCCCACCAGCTCCTCCCCATTCAAGAACCAACACTAGTTCTTGTCTGATTGCTATTTCCATACACGCAGTAGCCATTTTAATGGATCTCACCCTGGAATCCCACGGTTATCTGCTGAAATCTACCCTAGCCAGCGGCTGAGGTTTCTGCATAATTAATGCAACAGCTGAGAGTGCTGGTGGCTTCTTTGGGTTCAACTGGGACCCAGTGATGTGGTTAGTCCTAGCATGGCCTTAAGTCTAAAGGTCAAACTTGATAGCTGTTAACATTTTTCACCTTTGCTGATTTGAGGGCTACTCTGAAAGCTGTGGACATATGTTAAAGCTTGTGTGAGCAACCTGGAACCCAGGTGTGGAGACCCAACGCCTCCAGGGTAGATGGGAGGCCACTACAGGGCACAGAGAGCAACCAGGTGGGGCCTGTGGCCTCTGGCCAGAACACAATGACCTTTGTGATTTATTTTCGGTAGCTTTGTCCAGGTCAAGGGTCTCTGGGTCTCTCTCTCTTTCTCTGCATCCACCATCTCTCACTGGCTAGAAGTTGAATATTTATGCATTTGTTGAGCTGTCAGGCCCCAGAAATGATCCTTGGAGGATTGGGACGGGGCGGAGGGAGACGAGGAGGATAAGATAATTCAATCACGTTGTGGGTTATCCTGAATGGGATGTTGGCAGAAAAGATAAATTGGGCTGCAACTCCTTACTTTCCAACTGGGTCACCTGGCCGCGCTGAAGCTCCAGCGACACGATTCCTCTAAGGCTTAGTTTATCGGAGAAAGCCCAGAGCGGGAAGATTCCCTCAGAACTGCTACTAGCCAGAGCACCCGCACTTGCCTGTACCTCGGAGTGGGATGGGGACTGGGGCTGGGCGCAGGTGCAGCTCAGGGCCACTCGGCCGGAGCCTCGGAGGAGTTTGACCTACCTTGCCGTACTTCTTCAGCTTCTGCCGGTACTTCTTCTTGGGCTTGTCGTCCGGCACCTGTTCCTCCAGCGGTTCGTAACGGTCGGGCAGGCTCGCAAGGTGCACCCTCCGCGCACTGCGGGTCCCCGGACGCGGCGCGCTCGTCCCGCAAGCGCCGCTTTCGGCCGTCTCGTCCTCGCCTTCCAGGTGCTCTAGGATGGCTTCCTCGTCCCCCTCCGTCCGCCCTCGCCCTCGGGCCCCGCGGCGCGGGAACGTACGGGCCGCCTTGCTCCGCAGTCTTGCTCCCACCGTCATGATGCCGAGACCTGTCCCGCGAAGGTCCGAGCACGGAGACTCCAGCCTTCGCTCCCCGCCCTCTCCTCCGCCCCGGCCGTCCGCCCCCGCCACGACCCGCTGCGCTCCTGGGCTCCTGGGGCCGCAGCGCCGCCTGGCCGTGGCGTCGGGGATTGCGGCAGGTGCGCCCTCAGGTGCACGCCCATCCTCAGCTGGGCGCGCGGCGTCCCAGGTGTTGGCCCAGCAAGGGCCGCGGACGTCCACCGAAAGCACCGAGGGTACACAGCACGCAAACCGTGCAGCCACGCCTGAACCACTAGTGGACCCAAAACAACGGGACTCCATTTCACACACGTTCAAACTAGCGAAGTAACGGCAATACAAATTACATTCAGGGCGGGCATTGTGGCGTAACACAAAGAGCGACCGCCTATATCAGCGTCCCACGAGTTCTGGTTCAAGTCCCAGCTGCTCCATTTCCCGCCCAACTCACTACTAATGGCTTGGAAAAGCGGTAGAAGTTTGCTTGGGTCGCTGAAACTTTGTTTTCTTATAGCTGGATAAATGTCTTTGGACTCTGGGAAGACAGAATTAGCATTAAATGAGTTGTTAATTTTATTACTATCTTAACATTAAAATTTATGATAAGTTTAAAAAAATTTTGGTACACTGGTATAAATATGAAAAACATTTGTTATAGTTTGGAATATAAGAATATAAAATATTAATTTTTAATCCAATGATCTAATCCAATATTAAATATTTAATCCAATATTAAATTAGATGGTCAAGTGATTTAGATTTTGTCATGTATTAAGTAGATTAATTTATGTTAAACATAAATCTATGTATCGTTTATGTATAAAATATAATTTTACTTCAAGGTAAAAGGAATATAAAAATAAATTTCCTATGTGAGTTGGGTAGTTTCATTACACAGTTGAAGTACTTGAAAATTAGTTTATAAAAGTTGCCTACCGTGTTTAAGAGAATTAAAACAAATAAATGGTAAAAACTTTCTCTACAATGAGTATGAAATTTATTAGATTCGTAAACATTTTAAAAATATTGTAAGTTGAATTTAATAGGACAAAGAAAAGGAGATTTTTGATTTTTTTTTTTGCCAAAGTAATTGTCGATTTATAAACCCCTGGAGACCGCAGCAGTCTGTTTTCTTGTATAAAAATGGCCTCAAAGACTCCAAGATTGTTTATCCATGAGACAAAAGTGTTAACTCCAATGGGTGTAAATTGTAGACTTGCCTACATCAAATACTGTTCAAATACCGTTGCTCCTGCTTTCAATTTTGTGAACAACGCACTACGAACATGCCTGTACAAGTATCTGAGTCCTTGTTTTTAATTCTTTTGGCTACACCAAGAAGTAAAATTTCTAAATGATATGGTGATTTCATTTAAAGAAAAAAAAAAGAGGGCTGCCAAATTGTCTTTTATAGAGGTGGCAGCATCTTATGTTCTCATTTTAATTCACTTGGATTCTAATATCTCTACATCCTCGACCAATGGGAATGAAGTGGCATTTCACCATGGGTTTTAATTTGCTTTTTCCTAACGATCAGTGATGTGGAACACCTTTTGTTATGTTTATTGGTCACTCTTGTATCTTTTCTAGGGAAATGTCTATTCAAATCTTCTGTCCATTTAAAAAATTGGATTGTTTTATTACTAGCATTGTTGCCATTTTTAACCAATATGTCCCATCACAGGTGTGATTTTAAGTTCCACTAAGGAAGATGTTGACTAGAAAGCACCAGGAAGAACATCTAGGCTGTGGACATGGGCCTGCTAGGATTTTGGCTGTTAGGTTTCTATATAATCAAGAATGGTTCCCTTCTCCACTGCCCCTCACATCTTTCAAAGCAACAAGATGGGTTGGGAGCACCCCCTTTATAGAAAGAGCAGGGCACAGGGAGAAGGGCAGTCTCCAGTCAAAGCGACTGCAGGGAGATGCTGCCCGCCTGCCTACCAGGGAGAGGTGAGGAGGGACCAGGACGGAAATGCATGCTCTGTGCAGAGATGCAGTGGCAGGTGCTCTTTAGGGAAGAGCCCTGGAACAAGGCTACTGTGTAAAGAGGAGATTGCAGGAACAGAGAACCTTGCCTTGCAGCAGGCTTGATGCAGGCAAAGGTCCAAGTCTGAACTGGGACTCAACCTTGAAACTGCTCCGGGGTAACAGCACGTACCTTGAATGGATGCTCACAATGTGAAGAGCAGCAAAGATGTCTCCTAGGGAACAAGTGGATCCCACATGGAAATGTGACTATGTCCACAGCTAGACCTAGGGGTGCTTCTGCAAAATTAATGCACACGGACTTTGAAAAAATGTGATGGCACAAAAATATGTGTCTATTGTTTGGAGAGCTCACTGAGCACTAGGAAAGGGCAAGGGGAGCCAACAAATGAGTTCCATGTATTTTGCCAGCTCTAGGGGAGACTAGCCTTCAGACAGTGCCTTACCTGTTACACAAGCTTGACACCCCTTGGGGGTGTCAGTGTTTGTCCCAAGAATACTTTTTTCTAAGACAGCTTGAATCAACAGAAGTTAACATCCACTTCCTTACATTTTATTTTCTAAAATACATATTTAAAGGCTTATTATTTTTATTGAAAAGTTAAATACACAGAGAGGAGAAGAGACAGAGAGAAAGATTTTCTGTCTGCTGATTCACTCCCCAAGTGGCTGCAACGGTCAGAACTGAGCTGATCCAAAGCCAGGAGCCAGAATTCCCACCCTGGATGCAGGTTTCCAGGGTGTTGGGCCATCCTCGGCTGCTTTCCCAGGCCACAAGCAGGGAGCTAGATGGAAGTGGGGCTGCTGGGACCCAAATCAGTGCTCATATGGAATCCCAGCACACGCATGGCGAGGAGTTTAGCCAGGCCCAACTCCTTACATTTCAACCATCTGGGTCATGAGCGCTAATCTGCTAGAACCAATGTGAATTCTTACTCATGTCCAATTACTTTAAATAATTAGTCCAAATAAGCACATAAGAGGAGTCTTCGAAATGTTCATAGGAATTATATATTAGGAAAACATTGCGAATGGATTTAAAAATCCTTTGTGACAAAATTTAATTCCATTTTTCTAAAAACTTTGTACTAAATGTGTTTATAAGTACATGTATCTTTTTGCACAAACCAAACAGATGCCTGCTTTGTGGAATCCGCAAAACTGCACCAGTGTCCTCTAGACATTGGAGATTTTGTGACACAGGCTCCCGCTCCAGGCTGCCTAGTGACCTCTCCCCACCCCAACGAGTGTCCCTGCCTGCGAGCCAGCTGGTCCCATGGTCAGGGTTCCTGCTGTGAGGGACTTGACTCTGGTGATCTGGTCAAGTACCATGCTGATTCAGCTCCTTGTATGTGACTGCCACCTTGCGGCCATGACTGTCTCCTGCTCAGTCTAGTCTTCAAATTCAAAATGATTACATACAAGATTTCCCTTAGGGATAAACTGGAAAATACATATCCAAATATTAGCAGTGTTTTTTGGATGCTGAGATGGCCTCATTTTATGATGTTCTTTTGGCTTACCTGTACTTCCTAAATTTTCATTAAGCATGTGTCATTTGTATGGAAAAAGAGTGAAAGATTTTATGATCTTTAAAAACAGGATAGCATTTAAAAATATTATTGTTATTTTTTAAAGATTTATTTTATTTTTATTGGAAAGGCGGATATACAGAGAGGAGAGACAGAGAGGAAGATCTTCCATCCGATGATTCACTCCCCAAGCGGCCACAATGGCTGGAGCTGAGCCAATCCAAAGCCAGGAACCTCTTCCAGGTCTCCCACGCGGGTGCAGGGTCCCAAAGCTTTGGGCCATTCTCGACTGCTTTCTCAGGCCACAAGCAGGGAGCTGGATGGAAAGCAGGGCTGCCGGGATTAGAACCGGTGCCCATATGGGATCCTGGCGTGTGCAAGATGAGGGAGGACCTTAACCACTACGCCATCGCGCTGGGCCCTAAAATGATTTTTGCCATCTAAATTATAACTATTGGCTGGAAAAGTAACATTGAAGGGTATAGCCCAAAAATGAAATTTCTGAATGTTTAATTGCCCTTTCAGAAATTAAGCAAAACAAAAAAGGTATCAAGAGACTACTAATTCAAAGAAACATTGAATCTAGAAAGTTCTTTGAGGGACTTAGGAAATAGGCACTTGGGAATTAACCTAAAAGGTGATTTTGAGCAAGGAACACGAGTTTGCCAAGAAAACACTGCCCCAGATAACCTTGCTCCTCCACTGCCGTCTACCTTTTCTAATTACTATTATTATTAACAAGTGTCGTGAAAAGGACAGAGCAAGTATTTGCAGTGAAACATTTGACAAAGAGAGCTGAACTCTGAGAGATAGAGTAAGACTTGCAACTGCTGGAATGACAGGAAAGCAGGTTCACAGACTGCCCACACACGTGCTTCATGTCACCTCTGCAGGGCAGAGCGAAGCCACAAACCTGCACATGGCCTTGCTAACATTTAGAGCAGGCTGTCCTGACTTCAATTTTGAGTATCAGGTTTATTGGATTTAACATCAAAAGAGCCTGTTTAATATACGATATACTGATTCCTGGATTAAGTGTATTTTTCAAATAATCTAGCATGGATAATAATTAACCTATGCAAACGAATTATTACTGGCATAAAGAAAAATGTCAGTTCCATGTAACTTATATTTGGCATTAATAAAATCAGTATTTTGAGATTACGATTTTTTTTTTAAGATTTATTTATTTTTATTGGAAAGGCAGATATGCAGAAGGGGGAGAGACAGAGAGGAAGATCTTCCGTCTGATGGTTCACTCCCCAAACAGCTGCAATGACTAGGGCTGAACCAATCCGAAGCCAGAAGCCAGGAGCTCTTCTGGGTCTCCCATGCGGGTGCAGGGTCCAAAGGCTTTGGGCCATCCTTGACTGCTTTCCCAGGCCACAAGCAGGGAGCTGGATGGGAAGTGGGGCCGCCGGGATTAGAACCGGTGCCCATATGGGATCCCAGGCGTAC